CTTATCTAGTCACTCTTACAAATTCTCTCATCAGTATGTATGGTCTGGTTCCACTTAAGACGCACCTGCCCCTTCTCATTATTTGGGTCCCCTAAATAGCCTGGTAGAAATGACAGCACAATCCCTTCACTTTAACTATGGGCAGCAGCAAAAGGAGCACACATCTGTACTGAGCAAAGCACTGGATTCTCTCTTCCTCCTCAGAATTCCACACTCAAAACACCATCACACTGACATCCTGCTTCTCTCTCTCAATTATCTCTCATCTGTTGCAGCCTGTTCCCTGATCCCCTAGCAAATGGCTTGTAGATGATATAATGGATAGTGTTGGACTTGGAGTCATGAAGCAGCCCAAATTTGAATTCTATCTCACTCACTGGCTGTGTCATCTTTGCCAAATGTCTTAACCTCTCTCAACCTCAGTTTTTCCATCTGCAAAAAGGAAATAATATTAGTACCTCAAAGAGTTATGAAGATCAGATGAGATAATATATGTAAACTTAAACATGCTAGCTAATATAAATCGTCTCTGATAATCATACTTACCGATCCAATGTCAGGTCCTACTATCTTATCACTCCCCTCAAACCATAACATGCTTAATATCCATCAGATTAGGCAGCATAGAGCTATTTGTCTACTGTCTATCCTGTGCAATCATGTTTCCCAGATTTGTTCCATGTTATTGGAACATCCAGTCATTTACCTAGATGGTAGGTAGAAAGTACATGCGACCTAACTTGCCACTACATGCCTTTATGAAACTCAATCTTAACCTGGTTTACTATCAGCAAGAGGGGAAAGACATGGATTTTTGCTACCAAAACTACTCTAGAGACTCAGAGTATTGGAGGCCAAGCATAAAACACCTCAAGGGCTATTCAGAGGGGAATTGGAACACAGGCAACAAGATTAAGAAACCTGTATGAAGGAATTAGGAATCTGGTGATTTTCTCTTTGCTGCCTAGCCCAGTATCTACTGTCAGAGAGTATAAATTCTCTGTAATAATTCATTTGAATACATGGCACACACTCTAGGTTGGGTCCTGTGACAGAACTCCAGTTCATTTCCTTTAAATATATGTGACTGATAAAACTCAATGGAGTAAAAACATCAAGCTAAGGAATTATCATTGTATTGATTAATTATGAACACGATTAAAGGTCAATATAATAAAGCAGATTTAAAGCACCAACATTTTAAATAACAGATTATTCTTTTCAAGTTAAAAACATAAAATGTTTCAAGTGTAATTTTCCTCATCAGATGATAATATCAAATACATACAAGTATGTATTTGTAGCATATACTTTAAACAGAAATTTTGACCTGCAGCTACATTTGCTGGCATTTTTAAAAGATAGAAAATATGAGTAGGAAGCACCTACTATTTCTTCTTGTTTGCCAGTTCTCTGCTATCATCTTGCTGAAATGCCTTATGTATACAATAAGTTGCCTAAAACTTTTGCTGGACAAAAATTTTAGAGCACCAACACAAAATATCTCTAATAAATTATATTTGAAGAAATTGGGCAAAGGAGGAAAAAGTAATAATTTAGAAGTTGCCCTGCAGATCAGTTATAAATCACTTAGATGGATCATCATTGACCTGTTGAGTGTTTAGCATTATGCATTTGTTGTTGAGTTCGAGAGAGGGCAGAACTAAATAATGCAATAAAAAACTCTTATATTCTAGCATTTGAAGTAAAACTCAAAATCTAAGGTGAAGGTGAAATCAGGATGTTAGTTTTATTTGTTTTCTCTGCTGTTGGGGGGGATAGAAAAACAGAACCTCAAGGAGATTTCTGTTTGTAAGCCCAAGGTAATATTTTTAGCACTTTATGTAACAAATTCTATCATTGTTTACTCATTTTTATTATCTAGAGGATTGGGGTTGTGTTTATTTGTATATTGTTTCTCAAAAACAGCAGGATCTGTAAGCGCCAAAGCTGTTGTTTTTAATTGAATAGCTTTTCACAGGTGCTGCATTTCAAAGCTGATGTTTCTTATTTAAATATGTAAAGTCCTTTTAGAGAACTATTGAATTATCAAAGAAAAATAATTATGTTGAAGGATTTTTTGTGAAATGTTTGATTGAATTTTAATTATTTAAGTATTAGTAATCCATACAGGGTAAATATGGAAACTATCAACTGAATATTTTGTTTGGGAGAATAATAATAGCTGGCTTTTATACAACACTTTATGATTTGTAAAGTGTTTTATATTATGACAATCGTATAACCCTAAGAAAAGTAAAATCCCTGAGTCAAAACATGGCTTAAGGTTTGGGGAACTTGTCTTCCACTTAGGAAGACCTAGGTTCAAATCTTGTCCCTGCCATTGACTATATGACCCTGGGCTAGTCACCTAATCTTTCCATGCTCACAGGCAAACATCTAGGAATATACATTTCAGATGTTTTATTCTTCATGCCTATCTGTATTAGTAAAGGAAGTTGTTATACAGATGAAATCAGATTTTTTTAAAAAGATGATATACATATGTATGTATATATAAATATATAATAGCTAGTATTTATATATATATGTAAAAGACTTGCAAAGCACTTTACAAATATTATCTCATTTTATCTTCACAATAACACTGAGAAGTAGATGATGATATTATAGCCATTTTACACATAAGGAAACTGAGGCAAACAGAATTCAAGTGACTTGGCCAGGCTCATACAGCTAGTAAGTGTCTGAGGCTGGATTTGAACTTGTCTTCCTGATTTGCAAGTACAGTCTTATATTCACTGTGTCATCTAGCTCTGTGTGTGTGTGTGTGTGTGTGTGTGTTTATGTGTTTGTGTGTTTGTGTGTATAACCACCCAGCAGATAGTACACTGAGGCAAAGTTTAAATGTGTGTGAGTTTAGAATGTGGGCACAGTAGATTGTTCCCAGATCACACATTTTTCCTCCGACTGGACATTTCAAGATATAGGACTTTTCCTACTCCCCTCCTCTCTTCTTGCCTCAGAGGCTGATGCTTCCTTGAGGCACCCATATTCCAAGTCACACCTTACCCGGGGTCAACAGTGATTCCTTTAACCTAATAGAAGGATGGTCCCAATTGATATGGCTCTCTATCTCTGCTATCCAGGTGCTTATAAAAATTATTAATAAACATCAAAATAATGCAAGTCTTTAACAATTACAGCTCTAATCCCCAAAGCCAGAATGAAGCCCTAGCTTTTTTTTTCCCCTTATTAGTAGACTCCAATGCTGTCCTAATCCTAGCTATTCACTGGCATCCCGTACTGCATTACCCTCCAAAAGGCACAGTTAATATGTAGATATGTATCACAAAGAAGTTAGAGCAGTCTTATGTCTTATAGGAAACAAAATAGTTTAGAGATTTAAAGGAAGTCGAATAAGGATCAGAGGCAAAGGAGGTTAAACCTTCATCTTCCTTTGGCTGATCTCCAAGAGTACCAACAAGCAGCTCCATAAATCCATTCTCTTCACAGTTTTCTTCTCCAGAAATTTGTTTTGTTTTGTTGTTTTGTTTTATATTAGGCAGAGATACAAGCTGGGTAAAGAGCTTCTAGCCACATCAACAACCTCCCCACCACCACCGCTTTAGTATTGGTATCCATTAAAAACAAAAAAAGTATCAATGTAGTGCTCAGTTCAAAACTCCAGGTGCTGCAGAAATTTTTCCCCTGTTCAAAGCTCAAGACCCTCCCCCTCCAGACAAGAAGAATCCTCTGTAGTCTAGGTACTCTCATTCACTCATTTAGTCTTCACAAAACCAACAACAACCACCAACAAAAAACCCTACAGAATAGGTACTACAGATATCATCACCATCCCCATTTTATAGATAAGGAAACTGACAGTTAAGTAACTTGCCCAAGGTTACTTATAACTAGTAAGAATCAAAAGTAGGTCTTAATCTTTAGTCTATTGTGTTTGCAATTTCGGTATTCTTTCCACTTTACCACTTTGAGTCATTCCCTAATACTGTACACACACACACACACACACACACACACACACACACACACACCATAATTTCCTTATTTCTTACCTTTGAAGTGTTCCTTCAAAAGACAAATACCCACCAAAAATCCTTTATTATCAGTTCTTAATCTGTGGTCCATGAATTTGTATTTTTAGCATTTTGATAATTATATTTCAATGAATTGGTTTCCATTGCAATCTTATGTACTTCATTTTATGTCTTTAAAATAATTATTCTCAGAAGGGATCCATAGGCTTCACCAGACTGCCAAAGGTATCCGTGACACACGAAAAAAGTTAAGAATTCTCATTCAGATAGATAGTGTCCCAAAAGTCTAAGTATGGTTTTAAACTTTCATAGCTCCAGAAGTTTAGATGCCACAAACTTACCAAAAACAAATTGGGAAAGGTTAGTTATATAAAATACTAAATTATTAATGTTTCTCATTAAGATACAACATAACAACTGTCTTGAACTATACATTGCTCTAGTACATTTTTGAACTTTGTAAAAATTTATGTCAGCTGTTGTTCAATGACTGAAAGGATTGCATTGATAATCTTAGCTATATGGTCTTCCAAAGAATGAGGTTTTGATCCACCCACATGGAAGATACGACCTCAGAAGGAAAAGGCTAATGGAGAAAGATAAGGTGATTAAAGTGACCAATTATAAAGACCTCCTCTACTGATCCACAGGTCTGAGGAAATATCATCTAGAAACCATCACATATTAAATGAAAAATGATAGGTTGAGCCATTTTGTTAAAAATGAAATTTAAAATTTTATTATTCAAAATTCACAAAACTAAATAAGTATAAAAGATATTTGAATAATTAAATGTGTCCTACATATTTTCTAGGATGTTTAACCTATTAATCTAGCATGATTATTTTTTTTGGGAGGTGGGGGAGTTGGTGGGGAAACAACGTACATATAAATGCTGTTCTCTGTAAAACTGGAGGAGTGGGGAACGGAAGGAGTATTGGGGTCCAAATATTCCTGACATCTCTCTTTGCCTTACAGGAATGTTAGTTCTGCTGGAGAGGAAGCCCGCAGAAGAATGAGGGAATGTGATGGACTTACAGATGCATTGCTTTATGTGATTCAGTCTGCTCTCGGGAGCAGTGAAATTGATAGCAAGGTTTGTTGGGTTTGCCTTGGGAGGGATAAAAGTGAGAAAGTATTGCCTCTGGGGAAAAAGAAAGTAAGCCAGAATACTTCGTTTACTATTTTGTTTTGAAACATCAAAAGACTTTCTTTTTAAATAAATAGAAGCTACATTTGGTGCTAATATGGTTAGAAAATAATCTTCAAAACCCTCACTTTAAAATGAGATCTTTTAATGGAAAGTGATTCTGTTGCATCCAGCTAGACTGGAACCGAACATTCCATGCTCCCTTACTGTTTTAAAACTGGAGAGCATAGAAATTAATTTTTTTAGCTACTCCTTGCACAGTGTGCAGTCTTTTTCACACCCTTTCAAAAAAGACTCCAGCTTCCATGAAAAGTGCAATGCTCTTCAAAAAACTAAGAGAAACACAGACCACTTGTGCTTTTGTGAAATAACCCGAGTTTGTCTCAAGTAGTTCCATATAAACCATGTCTGGTTTAATAAATAATTGTAAATTAATCATGGAGCTCTTAGGAGAAAAAAAAAGCAAATGTCTATTTTAATGTTATGGGTTTCATTTATGTATTTTTGTGAACATTCTCATCCACGTTATTTTGTTTTATCTTCATTAATTCAATACTGAATAGCTCCCTTTAAAAAGTCAAGTGACTGTATAATGTCAATCATTGCCATAAAAAGAATAAGTCAGTTATACACTCCATAATCAGATGGGAACAGTTGGTGACTCTGCTGCAAAAGAGGATAATATGCAATATCACTAGCCCTTTCATATGACCTGTTATGAATTAGTTATTGGGAAGCAAAAAGTTAAGATAGCCACTTTGTATGTTATACTCACTACATTACCTCATCATATTCTCCTATACTCTTAAGAACAGATTTTCTCAAGTTATAACCTTGATATGACCAGTAGGGCAGCCAAGTGGTTCAGTGAATAGAGTGCCAGACCTGGAGTCAGGAAAACTCATCTTTCTGAATTCAAATCTAGCCACAAATAATTATTAGCTGTGTGACCTTGGACAAGTTGCTTAACCCTGTTTGCCTCAGTTCCTCATCTGTAAAATGAGATTCAGAAAGAAATGGCAAACTACTTCAGTATTTTTGCCAAGAAAATCCCAAATGGTGATATGAAGAGTTGGGCATGACTGAAAAACAAGTGATTCTGTTGCATCCAGCTAGACTAGATGACTACTATAACCACTCTTCAATTTTACTGGTTTAAGGCACCTGGTATGATTGCATAAATTAACTCATTCTTTGTCACCAATTTTAAAAAGACTCAATAATGAAATCAGCACTAAAATATTTTTTTGAATTTTTGTGTGTCAAAAGCAGCAGAGAACCAAAGCCATATATATAGTCTGTGGCCTTTAATATCCATTAGACTTCCTAATGTAATTGATAGGATAATTTGATTTTTTTTAATGACCAGACAGGGCAGTGTGAATAATTGCAGGTGTCAGGCAAACCAATAGGCATATCATTAAGTGTAACAGGAAAAAATGATTCCCTGAGGTTTATCTTCCTGAAGTAGCACTCTTGAGAGTATTAACAATTATATCAAGAGGTAGAAGTCTAAGGGTTTGATACACTGAACTACTTTACCGAATGCTTGGCAAAACTTGGAGCAGTGTGGTAAGACACTATGTAGTCCTTTCCATTAGCCATGCCCCTGTATTACATTTGACTGATATTCATGTATAATTCTGTCTAGAAAATGATTCTTTTAAGCTTTGAAAACAATTGGGTCAAGGAAAATATCAATGAACTTTCTCTTGAAGATCAACAAAGGTCTATTTCAGATAATGAGTAAAAGAGCCTCAATTCTATGCAAGCACATCAACTGTGCTGTGTAACTGGGACAGTTCGTTAGATGAGTAACATATGGTAGGATGCTCTACAGACAGCTTCCAAATTAGCCTTTCCTAATGGAAAGTAAGGAGTAAAAATGACCCTGGTGACTAAGAACTGGTAAAAACTCACCATTACTTGGAATGCATGTCAAAGACAAAACTACCAGCTGGATCCTCCTTCTGTTTGTCTCCCTTGGAGGGGTAGAAGGGGGGAAGTTGCCTCTTTTTACCTCTATGGAGAGAAGCTCCTGGCTCAAATTTTTGCTTAACAAACTCCAAGCTGAAAAGCTGAATGAGAAAATGAAGATTGCCAGCCAAAAGAGCAGGCCTCATCTCACTCTGCACTGAAACACAAAATTGTGCAAAAGCATGAGTGCACGCACACATACACACACATGCACGCGCACACACACACACACACTGCTGGGTGCCAGCTCCCAGGCAGCAGGCTACTTCTAAGGGATTACAAACAAAATAACGTCTTATAGTGTCAATCTATCAGTTTGATCTGTCAGATAGCTTGGTTTATTAGTCACTTGTTTAAGTGACTAATTAAGTTTAAATTAAACCCATTTCTAGTTCATTGATATCTGAGGAAGTAGACTTCAGGATGACCTAAGACAAAGGAGAAGGGAGAAAAAAAGACAGAAAATTTCCCTCAAGTCCTTGGTATTAGAAACATCAGTTTAATGGAATTTAAGAGTCAGACAGTTAAGAATTGTATGATAATATTTTTGCCAATGACTTTTTCCCAATTTTTTTCAAGTGTACTCCTATATTTACTTGTTTTCATGCCATTTCTTCTCATGAGAAGATGCATGAAATAGAAAAGTTGGTTGATAAAAAAAAAAAACAAGACAAAACAAAACCTATGAGATTAGTGCGTGACAGGATTCCTAAAAGCTTCTAGGGTGTTGTCTAGAATCTGCGAGGCTTCAGAAATCAATTCAGAAAATACTCCTTTCATGTTGATTTTCAAATAACCCATAATTAAATGAAAGAAATATGTTTTCTTTATGAGACTTTTGTCCCTCATTACTAAAAAAAATCAAAATATGATTATAGTTGTCCTTAAACTCTATGCATACCTTGATCCTTTGAGCTAGCTTTAAGGAAGAAACTTAGAGGACCTCTTTTGTCATCCTTAGCTCTGCCCAGCCCCCAAAGCCTTTACATATTCCAATGTATAGTTTTCAACTTCCAAGTTAGAAGAAATTGGTAGTTGGGCTATGTTTATAGAAAACATTAAAACTTCTCTTTTTGGGGGGGGGGATGATGGGTTTTTTTTGGTTTTTCTTTCTTTCTTTTTTTAACCAATTGATACTTACAATAGTTGACACCATATATCAGTGTAGTTTATGGTATGTTTTTATTACTTGTCCATCACCCTCCTTAGCACTGGCTAACATCAGGTTGGATCATGATTGTATTGGAATCCTAATTACAACCACTTTGAAAGGGAAGATAAGTTTGCATAAAGAGGAGGAAACCGGAAAGATTGTAGAGCAAGAACTTGGTTGTTGGAGAGGAGAGACTTTGGAGTAAAAAAGCCAAAGCTTCTATATTTGGCCAGGGATATTTCTTCTAAGGGATATTTATTTTAGAAGGGTAGCCAAGTATTTTAGATGTTGTTTTATGATTTTTAATATCAATATGACTTCTTAAATATTTACTCCCTAACCACCCTCCAAAAAAAACCACCTCTCATAAAAAATAAGTACAAACAAACAAGTCATTACATTGAACATGTTTGAACATATAAGAAAACTGACTAATGAATAGAAGGTCTTAGGGCCCTATTGAGTTAGTCTCTAGTTTTTCAACTATGCTCCAAGTGAGTTACTAGAAGTGAGGTGGGCAAATGTAGGGGTAGGGACTGGACTGACTGTCATTACACTGCATTGTGGAACTCCCAAGTGAGGAAACGCCCTCTACTAATGTAGATCTGTACATTCTCTGCAATAGTCCTAAAGATTTTCCTAGAATACTGAGATGTTTAGTAGCCCAGGGTCACAATACTACCTTTGTCACAAAGTGAGACTTTGAACATGAATCTTATTGGATTTGCTTCTTAGCCTAATGTATCTGATGATAAATGTGCATATAATGATTGCATGCAAGAAAGTAATCATATATAAAGCCTAAAGAGCAAGAAAGAGAGCTGCTTATAGTTGTCATTATTTTCCCCTTTGTTTCCATTTTATTTGTTTTGGTTCTTTAGACCGTTGAAAACTGTGTGTGCATTTTGAGGAACCTCTCCTACCGACTTGCAGCAGAAACATCTCAGGGACAGCAGATGGGAACCGATGAGCTTGATGGATTACTATGTGGTGATGCCAATGGCAAGGATGCTGAGAGCTCTGGGTGTTGGGGCAAGAAGAAGAAGAAAAAGAAATCCCAAGATCAGGTGATTCAAATTACTTGCAGCTGCATGTAATTATCACAGCTTCTAAATTACAATACTATGATTTAGTGTGTATATAATATGTATATTATATACACATAGACATATTTATATACACTACAAGATCTTACATGTTCAAGGTGATTTAAAAATATTGCCACATCGGTATTTCCTGTAGGGATTCTATAAATAATATATTGAAATGTAATGGTTTCTTAATACTCTTTATATCATAGTGTTTCTATCTCTACTCTGCTTCTGCCACTCAAGGGGTGGTCACATCCTAAATCTTAAACATCACTAGAGACTGCTCAAGCTCCCCAATCCTGAGCTTTCCATTTTCCTCTCTGACAACAATCTCATGTTGTTGCCTTTCTCCTACATCTTCATTTCTGAGTCTGCCCTTTGCCCATTCTGTGATGTCTGGTTCCAGTACATCTTCCTTGCTGTTTTTATTGATGCAGTTTGGGGGGTATAGCAAGTGAAGCACTGAACTCAGGTCTGAAAGACTTCAGTCTCAGCCCTGCCTCAGACACCCTCTGTAGGGCCCTAAGCAAGTCCATTAGCCTCTTCCCTTCTCAGTTTCCTTACCTTTAAATGATTGCATTTATTGCATTATATAATATTTATATTATTATTATTATTATTATTATTATTGTAATGGTACCTACCTTAGAGGGGTGTCATGAGGGTCAAATGAGATAATATATGTAGAATATATGTTTTCAAATCTTAAAAGTGCTATATAATTGCTAACTATTCTTATTATTTTTATTATTATTTGTTTTCCTTACACTGACAGTCTACTCCAGGATTCTTAACCATTTTTGTGTAACTTACCCTTTTGGTAATCTGGTGAAGTCTAAGGCACCTTTTCCAAATAACATTATAAAATATATTGGATTGCAAAGAGAGCTATTATATCAAAATACATTTATCCCAGTATTTAAAAAGTAAATTCCTGGACCACAGGTAGAAAACTCCTGGTCTAGACCTTTTGGCTAGTCCCTAAAAAAAGTACCTGGAATAGATTAGGTACTCAATAAATATTTCTTAATTGATTGAATTGGCCACACATTTCACTGATATTAGCACAATGTAGTGAAGGGAGGAATGGAATTGGAGTTAGAAGATCTTGGTGTAGTTCCTCTCTCTCCTATTTACTCCTTTGTGACCTTGCAATGGTCACTGTAGTTCATTGGATTCTACTTTATTTATCTGTAAAATGAGAGGATTGAACCTATATCACCTTTGATGTTCTTTTCTATACTATCCTTTCCAGAAGCTCTAAATCTTATGATCCTGTAATTGTTGAATTGCCTAAAATGATATGTCAGTGAAAAAATGAAAAACAGGACTTTTCAGAATTCAGAAAAGCCATAGAGTATAGTCACCAGGATGTTCAAATACATCATTCTATATCAACTAGTTATACACAGTTGTCTTTCAGGAGCTGGGCTAACAGAGGGGAGTGCAGATATCCCAAATACCATTATATGTTTTTCTTTGAAATGTTATGAAATGTACTTTTGCACTTAGCTTTGAATATAGGTATGTCTGAAGTTCTTGGAATTCATAACACTTCAAATAACACAATAAAACCTCAGTGTGAAGGACAGTTCAGGAGAGACTAAAAAGTAACCCACCTTCCTCATTTGTTCTTTTGGAAAAATTCAGAAGGATTCCTTTTCATGCTATTTTTTTAACATTGTGTGAGATTTCTGTCATTATAAAGGGTTTGAGGTTTTTGGGAGAGTCCTACACAAAGGTAACCTGCCTTATACAAAGGTCGTCTCCAAGGACACTATCTGGAGCCAGAAGACCTTGGGTCAAATGCACTCTAACACTTAGTGATGCATGATCTTTGGGATGTCCATTACCCTCTCTGAACCTCAGTTTCCAGATCTGTAAAATAGCGATAATAATATTTGTATAACCTTACAAGGTTTTTGTAATGAAATCATTTTGTAGATCTTAAAGCAGATAAAAATAGAGTTATTAGCAATGCTTCTCAGTCTCTCCAAGGCTTAGTAGAACCTAATTTGGGTAACACAGGCACTGTAGTTAGAGTAATTCCAAAGTGAACAACTGAAAAAAGGAAGACTTATAAAACTCAAAACCTCAAACCATTTTTAGAGCATCTGTTCACTTAAACAACAGCATAAATTTGTGTATATGTATATCATAGTTACTTACACTTTCTAATCTGTTAAATATTCCTTCCCCGTTAGAACAATTATTAAAAGAAACAAGCAAAAAAGAAATCCTATTAAGTACTAATTATGTATGGTACCACCAAAATTGTAGCTTCAGTTATCATTTAGACTCCAAAGGTTATTTCCATTTTTCCTTTCCCCTCCATCACTTCCCTGTTGCTTACTTTCAGTTTGGCATAAATGGTTTGGTTTGTCCAAACTTAACCCAGGTCTCCTGCATTTGGAAGCATCAAATGTCTTTCTCTCTCTTCTCTCTCCTGATGATTTTCAAATTGACTTTTTTTGCTAGTTTTTTTATTGTTCATCTGGACATTTGTTGTTTTGTAAACACAAAGTGAAGACCAATGAAAAGTCATCAGAATATCATATACAAAGTATCACATACAGGGTCCCAAACATCCCAGTGAATTTCTAAGTTTTAACAGCTTAATATTGCACTATGACTTTTGAGGGACCATGTATGTGTGTGTGTGTGTGTGTGTGTATATATATATACACTCACATACATATCTTCTTGTTGTTCAGTAGTTTCTGTCCTCTTTGTTTTGGAAAGAGTTCATATAAGGTTAAAGTTGACCCCAGCTACTTCTTCCTTTTTACACACAGGGATAGGAGACTGAACTAGTGGTTTTGTGGGTATATGGAAGTCCCAGAGGAGGAAAATTCCTGCAAACCTTCTCTGTAACTTATAATCTTCGAGTTGCCTAGAGGGGAAGGGAGAGAATAACCTTTTATTAAAAGGCCACTAGGTACCAGACACTGTGCTAAGCACTTTACAAATACTATCCTATTTTATCCTCATAGCAGTCTGGTGAGGTAGGAAATAGGAAGAGCCTAGGTAGAGCACTGAGAGATAAATAAATTACAGAGGGTCACACACTAGCATGTGTCAGATGTGTGACTTGACCCCAGTCTTCCTGTCTTCAAGGCCAGGGCTCTGTCCACTATACCATATGATCTCTTAAAAGGAGGACACTCTTAATCATGTGAACACTTCTAGAAACCACCAAACTGAATGTAACTTGGTTTAATAAAAGTAAAACATGCTAATTCCTACCATATTATTTTTTGCATAACTGTACTATCACAGAACCAAAACACAATCAATGCCTTTTTTGAATCAAGGTAATTCATATGCCCCAAAGGGAAGTAAGCATAACAAAGGTTCACAGAAAAAAGAAATGATACATACACTAACTTTGGGGGAAGGAGAATTTTAATCCTGTGTTTAATTCCTTCTCATTTCAGAGTGTGACCTCTATGATACGACAGCTGAAAGGGCCTGAACCTCATTCCTTTGATTTAAGGTCTACCCCTTAGAACCTCATTTTAATAGGATCTCCTCCCCCCAATCCCTTTAAGAATTTATAAATATATTTAACCTTAGCAGTAACACGAAATCTGGTAATTTTCTTAGGCAGCAACTAATTAGCTACTTAAATGCATTTCTCCATATGTAAAATGTGAATCACACATTTGTGGTGACACAAATGTCACACACAAATGTGGTGACACACAAATATTACTTTGACCAAGGTAGTTTTGTAGCAATGAATGTTTCATTGAGTGAATCTTTGTTTTTTTGATGTATTCTCAATCTCATGATGTGGGTACTCATTAGAGCACTGAAGGTTACAGCTTCTCCATTTCTTTTCCATAGGTCTTCCACAAAGCTTACACCAAACATGCTGGAGGTTTTCTTTTAAGTCTCTTGACAGTAAATGAAAAACATACATTTGAGGGCTGTTTTTCAGTGATTCTTTGTTTGTTTTTTAATGTTTTTAAATATATATTTTTTATTCATCACAAGCATTGTGTTTGCGTGTTTGCCAAAATTGTAATATACATGTAAACAAGACATTTATTGTTTACCAAATCTGATGGCTTATTTATGTTTTTGCATATGAATTTTCTGACAAAGATTCCATAACCCAATCCATCCCCAGAAGCTTGTGGCCATAGGTTGAGACTCATTGGGACAGATGATTCTCTTTTTTCTAATATGGCCCCATGAAAAAGCAGTAGAAGAAATTATTTGGGATAAAAGCTACTTTAAAATTGTAAGTAGATAATTAACAATGATCATACCTCCCTATCATCCCTAATTTAGGGGAAGGCAATTAAATAAAGAATTGGGAAAGATGCAGTCCACTGATACACACAGACATACATACATTGTGGTTCCCTTGCTTTCTCCACCTAACCAGCAGACTTTTTTGTAGGTCACTCATCTCTTTAACAACATCAATTCCCTTACTTTACTTATAGACATCTGACCTTAGAGATATCTTTCAGGTACCTCATCCCTATCCTTAGTTTTGTCCTTTCCATTTGCAATGTTTGTCCCAGATATATGTCCTGATGGACCAGCTTTGTGGGTTGTACTTCAAACTGTATATCATAATCTAGACAAAAGGCATTCTTCATCTGCTTGATTTTTTTTCTTTGTGTATAGTAAGACTGAATGCTTTTGAGTGATCATGGATCTTATTTAGGAGGTTCTGTGATGTTCTGGGGCTTAATAAAGTCAATGCAATGCCATTTTCAAACAGGAGTCTGCAGAAATTCATCAGCCTTTGGGAATCCCTCTTCCCATTGATTCTGCCCTGAACACCTTCTATGAAGGTGACAAATACTTTTACTTTTGAATAAAAAGTACTACATAAATCTCAAGTGATATCATATTCTAAAATATGTTATTTCACATATATTTTAAGGATCCTTATTTTTATAATGATAAAAATGGCCACTTTGACCACCAATGCCTGGGTCGATGGTTTTGAAAGA